CCAACTATGTGTTTTTATATCTACATCACGAATTTAATTAAATTAGATTAGGTCGAAGACAACATATCAAGAAGACTGGCAACTCTTCCATTTTCTCATACGAACGCTATGAGACAGGTACAATTGCGTAATCTTCCGCTCAAAGGTAAATGCTTCGAACGAATTGGATAGCAAAGGTTCCATCCTCTGAATAAAGGTTTGTGTATTTGCTCATTCTTCTATGCATGGCTTCCACCTTTGCTCGAGCGCAGCGCTACCAACAATCAATACGAGACTAACGATTTTAAATTGGCTCACTACTTGACTAGCCTATTGGTCCCAAGCAAACGATTAACGTACCCTATTCTAGTCGAAATTCTAGTACTACGCTATGTTTGTTTTGATTCGCTATGAAAGTTTGACAGATAACATCAGGGGTGTGTGGATTCATGCAGAACATGCAGGGGTGAGTGAAATAGCTTGGGACTGCTTGGGACCGTTGTTCTGGTACTGAGTGAGCCAAAAATAATAATGATTTTCTTCGGGACCCAGTGGTCTTAGAGTTACCTCTATGGCACTACCGTGTCTGTCGCTTTGATTCAGGCAAAGTTGTCAGTCTTCTTGATATGTTGTCTTTGTTTATATGCTACACATCGCGTCGTGATTTTTCTGGTCTACACAGTAACATGTCACCATGCGCAATCGATTCCTTGCACTTTTCCCTAAAGAAAGCCTATATTTCTGGTGGGAGTATTAGCGGCAGCTCGAAAAATACCTGATAGATTGTCATTTTCTATATGAAACCACACGGCAAATGAATCTGACTCATATTTGCGTATCGTTCACTCAAATTTGCTAAAACGTAGGACACTCATGCTTTACGTTACCTTGCATCAATCAGGCTAAGGCTTGGCTACTTGGTCGATCCATCTTGACCGTTGCGCACGTTCGCTTGTTCCTGTTGGCTCGCTTTTTCACTGGGTCGTCGTCCGGCATTCTTATGACGTGCCCAGCCCACTGTAGTCGCCCATTTTGACGTAGGACTACGTCTGTGATTTCTATATAGGGTACACTTTGTGAAAACCTAAAATGGAACATGTAACGAAATTATGAAAGATTTTGAACGTAAATAACTCAGCTGCCCCTGGACCAATTTCAATAATTTTATCACCAATCGATCATAAATATTTCTACGCAATTAACAATACGCAATACATTTTAGAATTTTTCAAAATGTAACCATTGACAATTGCACGAATGTGCCATTGTTGCTATGATAATTAAAATTATCACCGGTTGCCTGCGAAAAGTGCGTTCCTAAACACAGATTTCAAAGTGGAATTCCATCCGATCTCACCAAACAGTGTATATTCAATCACCGCGTGATGAGTAGTGCTGTTCTCCAGTACACAACGAAAGGCTCCCCGCCAAGCAACCAGCTATGAAGGCTGCCCCAACTGCCCTACTAAAATTCATATCAAAAGATTCTTTTCAGGGCCATCATAGTCATACTAAAGAGTATAAACAGAGATAACCCCGCTCAAATTCCTATTCCTACACAAATCATAAGCTCCTGCTGCAGATAACAAATAACATTTATTATATAAGACCACGTAGTCCTACGTCATCATTGCGTACAACCCCATAGGGGCTGTCCCTTGTAGTCTTTTGCAGTGTGGACGATGATGGATGGTTCATTCGCCATTCCCACGTTCCGTCATCCATCTGCACTCCACCTGCACAACACCTTCCGTTCGAAAACATCAAGGGCGCGTCGGTCCTCTACGAGCATAGTCCAGATCTCGTGGCCGTAGAGGACTACTGGTCTAATCAGTGTCTTGTAGATAATCAACTTCGTGCGGCGGCGAATTGTATTGGACCGGAGCGTCCTCCGGAGTTCAAAGTAGGCAAGATTCCCTGCCATAATGCGTCTTTGAATTTCTCTGCTGGTATCATTTTCGGCGGTCACCAGTGAGCCCAAATACACGAACTCATCGACCACCTCGATTTCGTCACCGTCAATCTGAACTCTTGATGGGAGGCTAACCTTGTCTTCCCTAGAACCTCTTCCTTTCATGTATTTCGTCTTCGATACGTTGCCTTCAATCTGATGTACGTTTCCGCCATCGTCTCAAAGTACCGTGCCATGATGTCGATGTCATCGGCGAAGCCAAGAAGCTGGATGGACTTCCTGAAGACCGTGCCACTCGCGATGTTGAACAGCAGACACGAAAGTCCATCACCTTGCCGTAACCCCCTTCGAGATTCAAAGGGACTCGAGAGTGTCCCCGATACTCGAACAACCCACATCACTCGATCCATCGTCGCCTTGACCAATCGCGTCAGTTTATCCGGAAATCCGTACTCTCGTGCATAATCTGCCATAGCTGATCTCGCTCGATTGTGTCGTACCCGGATTTGAAATCGATGAACACGTGATGAATGGGCACGTTGTATTCGCGGCATTTTTGCAGAACCTGCCGAATCGCGAAAATTTGGTCCGTGGTAGCGCGGGCACCCATGAATCCCGCCTGGTATTGCCCCACGAACTCTTTTACAGAACCTTATTTTTTATGTTGTCATTAGGGTGACCATTTCCATGTTACGGTGGTCCCAAAAATGACTTTTTTCAATATATCAAATGAAAGATAATGAAAAATGCTTTTTAGAAAAAAATATAATCAGTTTATTTGTTTTAAAGCGACTGTATCAATGGAGACGCATGGCAGTCTAGTCGCATAGGAGTATTGAGCGAAAACCCAAAACTTGATAACTTAAAAAAAATATAACTCAAAAAGAAAAAAAGCACATGGCATTTGTTATAACTCCTATTGAAATGTTCCTCCGAAGATCTCCCAATAAAGTGTTGTGCATATTGTAGCCAAAAGTTAGTATTTTCCCATGAAAGTTGACTGATCTGCCACAACTTGCCTCAGTTCAAGATATTGGAAAAGTGTCTAAATTTAAATAAAAATCTTTAATAACTTTTCAAATATGTAATGCATCATAGCGATACAAAATATTCGACAAAAATGTGAACTTTGATACATTGATAAACTTTGTGGAATACTTTAAAGCAATAAAATTATTGTATTAAGAGTTATTGAAGTAAAACTGTTTTTAATGGCTTTCCACAAACAATGCATCATATTTTGTCAACGTTTAGAGATGCGAAATTGCTGATTTCAGCAAAATTGCTTATTTTAATGTGATCTACATTTTTGTGAAAACTCTAACTCATTTTATGAAAATATTTAAAAAAAAAGTAAATTGTGTATCACCCTAATACGTGGATACATCATCACCCTAATGGAACGAAAAGATAGACTATTTTAGTCCAATAAACTTCTTCGAAGACATTGCCCTTTGTTAAAGCACAAATTTACACGCAATTAAAAAACGTATGATTTCAATAGATTCGTTCCACTGTGTGGTCGTGAGCTCATGGAATTTCTCCTACTGTGTTACCTGACATATAACGAATATACGTTGTATACGAGTACCCCGAATACAACGTACGACTCGTCTAATTTTGCATAGCATTTGCAATGTAAAATTAGACGAACTATACGTTGTATTTGGGGTACTCGTATACAACGTATATTCGTTATAAGGCAGGTAGCACAGTAGTGCTTTGCAATCAACTACAGGGTGAAAGGTAATTCCTGTCAGTAAAGTATATGGTCATAAAAATGAGAAGATGATGTGAAATTTTATTTTCAGTGTATTTCCTGTTTCGTGCATCTATAACATTTGTCTTAACTTAGTCCAATTCAAATCTTTCTCTCTTTCCTTTGATTACGAGCTGTATCCGTTTTTGAAAATCGTTACAGCACGCACGATATCTTGAGGCATTTCGTCCCATATTTTCACCAAACGTTGCTTAAAAGTTTCCACGGTTGTCCCTTGGTATTCCCTAGCTCGCCTAATATGTAACCCCATGCAAAGATTCAAATCGGGTGAGGAGGCAGGTCACTCTTTCGACAAAATGAAATCCGCACACCAAGCCTGTGTAATTTTTGCCTGATGGGACGGTGCAGAGTCTTGTTGGAAACAGTATGGTGCATTCTTATAATGTTTTTGGACAAAGGGAAGCAAGTGGTTCTTCAAAACATTATCGATGTAATATTTACTGTTGATTTTAACACCAGGTTCAATGAACAGCAATGGAACTTTCAATGTGTTGGAGAAACATCCCCAAACCATCACCCTGGAAACATTCTGGAACCTTTGAACAGCCAGTTGGTCACGAGGAATATCAGCAAGATATGCAGCATATACCCGATCATGTTGCTGGTTGTGGTGATCCTGTAGCAGGAACATTTTCTCATCCGAAAACAGAATATCGCAATCACCGTGCCGTTTGAGCAGTTTCCGACATCTTTCGACTCTAGCTATCTTTTGCTTTCCGGTCAAACCATGCACCCGCTGTTTTTTGTAAGCATTCAATCCGATATCATCTTTCAAAATACTCCTGATCGTTGGCTGCGACATTCCGAGTTCTTTGGCCATCTTACGCCCAGACTTGCAAGGATTCCGCCGAATTCGCTCTCTCACTCGTTTGATAAGTTCCGGAGTCCTGACACTGCGTTTTCGGCCTGGTTTGGGAGGGATTTTCCACGAACCGGTTTCCTTGTACCGTTTAATGGTGCAAAAGATGAATCTTTCGTTTATTCCGATGTGGTTTCAGCGTCTTAAAAATAGAACACGGTCTATGATGCTACCTTTTCGCGTCCATGATTATCACGAGTATCAAACGAATGAAAATTCAAAACAAACTTGCATGCCGTGTTGACATTTGAATATACTCTAAAAGAAAAATATGCAGACATGTATGTGATTAACCCATTTGATACTACAATTGCTTAAAAAACACTGCCAGGAATTACCTTTCACCCTGTCGACTTCAAGATCCACCGATCTAGACAGACGTTGAATAACCGCCGATAACACCCAACCATTGTTCTGCCAACACCATTCTAACGCATTTTCCCCTATCATTTTCTCTCCCACCCCTACAGCGCGGTGTCGGGCCTGAACGGGATCGAGTTCGAGGGTTCGAACCTGCTGGTGGAGCTGTTCGACAGCAAAGGCCAGCGCCGTAACACGCGTAGCCGCCCGCAGTACGCTGGAATGCCGGGTGGCGGTGGCCCAGGACGTCAGACCGACTTCCCGCTGAGGCTGCTGGTGGCCAGCGAGATGGTCGGGGCCATCATTGGCCGCCAGGGCAGCACGATACGACAGATCACCCAGAACAGCCGGGCCCGCGTCGATGTCCATCGGAAGGATAACGTCGGCTCGCTGGAGAAGGCCATCACGATCTACGGCAATCCGGAGAACTGCACCAGCGCATGCAAAAGAATACTGGAGGTGATGCAGCAGGAGGCCAACAACACAAACAAAGGGTAAGTTCGAGTGAAATTGAACCGCACTTTTCATCAATACTGACGACCGTTATGCGTTTTCGCAGGGAAATTTGCCTGAAGATTCTCGCCCACAACAACCTGATCGGTCGCATCATCGGCAAGAGCGGGAACACGATCAAGCGGATAATGCAGGACACCGACACAAAGATCACCGTCAGCTCGATAAACGACATCAACAGCTTCAACCTGGAGCGCATCATCACCGTCAAGGGTTCGATCGACAACATGTCCAAGGGCGAGAGTCAGATCAGCGCCAAGCTGCGTCAGAGCTACGAAAACGACCTCCAGGCGTTGGCCCCGCAAAGTATAATGTTCCCGGGTTTGCACCCGATGGCGATGATGTCCACCGCGGGCAACGGGATGGGCTTTACCGGACGCACCGGGATGTACCCGGGAACCAGCTATCCGATGTATCAACCTCCGACGGTGCCCGGTGCTCCGCCCGGATCGAGCGACGTCCAGGAAACCACTTACCTGTATATTCCAAATAATGCCGTTGGTGCTATAATCGGAACCAAAGGATCCCATATTCGTAATATTATAAGATTTTCCGGTGCTTCGGTGAAAATTGCCCCGCTCGAGGCGGACAAACCCCTGGAGCAGCAAACCGAGCGCAAAGTTACCATTGTCGGCACGCCGGAAGCCCAGTGGAAGGCTCAGTATCTGATCTTCGAGAAGATGCGGGAGGAGGGCTTCGTCTCCGGGACCGACGATGTGAGATTAACGGTTGAAATTCTGGTGCCCAGTGCGCAGGTGGGTTGAAACGAAGGCGAAGTGTGATTGCTGATGATTTGATTTTTTTTTTTTTGGTTTTGCTAGGTCGGACGTATTATCGGCAAGGGTGGCCAGAACGTGCGGGAACTGCAGCGGGTTACCGGTAGCATAATCAAACTGCCCGAACACACTACCAACACGCCGGTGGATGAGGAAACCACGGTGCACATCATCGGTCCGTTCTTCAGTGTTCAGGTGAGTCGATTTGTCTCAAATCTAGTACCAAGCGTAGTTTCTTATTATCCAAACTTGTTCCATCCACTGGATCTGTCGCAGATTTCAGAACTTAGAAAATCCTCTGATGCTGATCTTCAAAAATATTTTAGTTAATCTGTTTGGCCTTCAAGAACGTTTGATTCATGAGGTCAATGAAGGTGATCCATAAAGCATCTGTACTGAACCAGGAGGGCTTATGAAGTTGACCCAAGTGAGCTGTGTATTTCTCAAGATCTCCGGACTTGACCTGTATGTAGCGCATCCTTGGGATGATTAATATGAACTTCTCCCACAAGGCCTCTGAAGTTGATTCCTAATAAGACAGCACATATGAGCTTCGAAGTTCACCTTTGAGACGTTCACTTTGAGATTGACTCATGTTAACATAGAATAATATATTTATAAAGACCCAAGCTTTATGAAATCGATCGATTTGGTTTTTCAACTCTTACCATAAAGCCTCTATTAGGTCTGTCGGCCTTCATATCAATCCTCTGAAGAAGATCCACTGACCGTTTTGTTTTAGAAGTTCATTTTGGTTAATGAGTAAGTTTTGAAGACCAGCTAACTCATGAGATCTACGTAAATGATCCATAAGACATCTTAGCTGAACGTATAGGGCTTCTGAAGTTGTCCTGTATGTTTCTCAAGATCTGCTGAATTGCCCCATAAACTATCCTAAGTTGATAAAAACGATCCAAGGTCTCTGAAATTGACCCATAAGACTGCAAATATTTATGAGCTTCAACCCATGTCTCAATTTGGCTGAAGGTCTCGTAAATAAAGATCACCAACTAAACAATAATGTATCCATCCTTTCTGACTTATTATCAAAGCCCATTGGAATTGGTCTATAAGGCATGAGATATTTGATTTAAGCTTACAAGACCTCAGATTTTGACTCAAGATTTCTGATGTCGATCGATAAGGCCTCTCGATTGAGCTTTTGGGCTTATGCCATAACCTTAAGGCCTCTGTAGTTGAACAAATAGATCTCATTAGTTGACCTATAAGATCGTCTGCAGCCAGTGCACAGTGGACCACAGGAATCCAATCTAGCATAGTTAATAACTCCAAAACGTAGCAATTCCGACGTTTTTCTTGTTATAATGAAGACCATCTATCAACATACACAGACTGTGTATGTGTGTTGACTGCGCCAAAATTTAACTTTTCTCACTGAATTTTTAGCGACTTGACGTCTTCAGCAAAGATGTTCATGATCCAAAATGTGACCAAAATTTGTTGTCCTATGAAGTTTGGAAATTAATCATATTGTCGAGCAGTTTTGGAACCACCTTCTACCAGCGATTTTAAGAAAACGAACTGATTAACTCCCGATATTGTTCCACGACTAAGTTCGAGTGTCAACTTTCCCAACGCTAGCTATCAGAACTTCCCAGAATTTACTGAACTTTACTGAAGTTCTCTGAACTTTCCTAAAGTTTCTGTGCACTTTTCTGAAGCTATCAGAAAACGATTGATGTTCATGGCACCACCCGGAATTTAGCTAGGCTTCCCTGGAGTTTCTTTGGATTTATCTGCAGTTTCTTTGGAACTTGCTTGATGTCTTCAGTACTTCTCTAAAATTTGTAAAATTTTCCCGCAGTTCATGGAGCTTCCCTTAAGTCCTTGAAGTTCTTATGAACTTCCTTATAGTTCTTATGAACTTCCTTAAAGTTCTCGAAACTGCTCTGAAGTTTCCCAGAACCTACTTAAAGATTATTAAACTATCTTGCAGTGCTCGGGAATTCCGTGAAGTTTCTTCGAACTGAATTCCATGAGACTTGGCAAAAGTTCTTGGGATTTAGCATAAGTTCTTGGAACTGCGCTGATGTTTTCTGGACTTCTCTGAGTTTCTAGGAATTTCTTATGAACTCCCCTAAAACACGGAACTGCCCCGATGTATCTATGGACTTTCATGGAGTTCCTGAAATGTTTATGAAATTTATGGACCTTCCCAAAATGCCCTTGAACCTCTTCTGGACTTTCCGTAAGATTCTAAGCTAAGGACTTCCTTGCGACTTTTCAGTTAAATTAACTCAATCTGGGTTTCACCTACTTTCGGATTCCTCCTCGAGGACTTGGGAAATCGATGACCGACGCCATTTTGAAATCCAAGATGGCGGCATCCGATTTCAGAAAAAGTGGTAGATACTGTCAAATACCCATCAATATAGGTGTTTTTGGAATCGGGGTAACGTTTACAGATCTAAAATCGATACGCGACGCCATTTCAAAATCCAAGATGGCGGCTTCCAGTTTAGAAAAAAAAAGTGGGAAGTACTGTTAAATACCCATTAATATGGGTATTTTTTTTATCGGGATGAAGTCTAAAGGCTGAAATTGATATTCGATGACATTTGGAAATCCAAGATGGCGGGTTCGGATTTCATAAAACGTGGGGAATACTGCCAAATACACATCAATATTGGTATTTTAGGCATCAAGCTGAAATCTAAAGGCCGGAAATCGATATCCGACTACATTTTGAAATTCAAGATGACGGCTACCAATTTCAGAAAAAGTGGGAAATACTGACGTCGACCCATCAATATGGGTATTTTTGGAATCGGGGTAAAGTCTAGATATCAAAAATTTGCTATGCCATTTTGAAATCCTAGATGGCAACCTCCGATTTCAGAAAAAAGAGGTAAATACTGTCAAATATCCATCAATATAAGCGTTTTTGGAATCGGCATGTCGTCTAGAGACCGGTAATCGATGTCCATTTTGAAATTCAAGATGCCGGTTTCTGATTTAAGAAAAATGGGAAATACTGTCAAATACACATCAATATAGGTATTTTTTTATCGGGGTGACATCTAGAGGCCGGAAATCGCTGTCCGACGCCATCTTGAATTTCAAGATGGTGGCTTCCGATTTCAGAAGAAGTGTCAAATACCCTACAAATGGCATCGAACATCGATTTTCAGCATCTACGCGTCGTCTCCGTTGCGAAAATACCCAGATCTTAGGATATTTGATACTTTTCTGAAACCCGATTCTTGGATTCCAAAATGGCGTCGTTAATTTAATATAAATAACATTTTATTACTACATATAATCCGGATGCAATCCTTATCGGCAACCGATATTATGCGGATACTATCCGAATACTATATTTTGATGCCTGACGACGCGACGCGTGACAAGTCGAATGAGCCCCGAATTGAAGTGAAAGTGAAAAAAAAAACGAAGGAAGCTGTTTTCGTGTCATTCAATGCGTCAATAAAAACCAAGGAGTGGTCACTCACACACTTATTTTGTACCTACTTTTTTCTCGGTGAGCCGCAGCTGTGCCGAGAGTGCCAGTCATCTTACTGACTTTGATTGCTTGTCAATAATGGCATTCTTGGCAACCCGGTTAATCTGACAGTTCAAATGTTGTGTTTTGAAGGCGCAGAAACAACAGAACAAGCAGTGGATTCCGGACCAAGACGAGAATCAAGACAATGATCCAGAGGCACCCCAGCTGTACAAAACGGATGACGGACAAACTGGCCCGATCGGAGGAGCTCCTCAAGACGGCTGTTTGACAAAGACCTCGGGAAAAGGAATTTTAAATCCACAGTTGCCAGGTCAAGCTGCTGTTCAAATCGCTGGAACTCTTCCGGGGATCGAAATCAGCTGCGGAGATCAACGTTGGAAACCTGGCATTGAACCGGGGCAATGCGGATGCATGGTTTGAGGTGGCCAATGTCATATACGAACTGGACGAGAAGAAACGAGACGAATCTGTTATGCGCTTATATCGGTGGATGTGAAAATGGTACTGGAGAAGGCGACGAAAGTGTTCCGCTTCTTCTACGGTGTTATCAAGCAGTAAGTGGAATCATTTAAAAAAAATGCAGAGAAAAGCTATTCCCGCTTGTGTTCATCGATGATACCTCTAAAGCCATCTAAAACTTGCCAAACCAATTTTGAATTGCTCAAACTGAAACACAAAGTACGGTGAAGAGGTGTGGCATTGCATCCCATGCACCTTCAACGATCTGTTGATGTAGTTACGCAAACTGATCTTGAACGCATCGCCTTCACGCTTTACTTCAACCCCGAGAAAATGTCGCACTTCTCCGAGATCGACCAGCTCAAACTCCGCATTCAGGCACTCTTGTACAGTCTTGATTTCGTCTGCATCCATTGACGCCAGCAGAAGATCATCCACGTACACCAACAGGAGAACCTTCGCCTTTCTGTCGTCTCGAAAATAGAGGCAGGGATCTGCCACCGCTGCCATGCATTTGTTCTTCACTAGCACTTCATGCAGCTTCTTGTTCCAGCAGCGAGCAGACTGACGCAATCCGTAGATAATGCGCTCCCGGCGGTTGCCGCATATAAACTTCCTCCTCGAGGGTCCCGTGCAAGTAGGCCGTCATGATGTCTAGATGCTGAACGACCATGCTGTGCTTTGCTGCAATCGTCAAAAACGTTCGAAATGTTGCTTGACTAGTAACTGGGGCAAACACTTCTCCGACCTCAACTCCGAACCGTTGCGCGTAGCCTTGCCTTAAACTTCACTATGCGGTTGTCTTCGTTCTTCTTCGCCTTGTACACCCATTTTGATCGGATGACCTTCCGCCCCTCTGGCAACTGCACCAGCTTCCACGTTCCGTTGATACGATGGGCCTCCAACTCTTTATCCATTGCTTTGCGCCACACAGGTTCTGCTAGAGCTTCTTTAATACTAACCGGTTCTTCCACTGCGCACGCTGCAACGTAGTCCAGCTGAAAATCGTCTTCTCCATTGTCAGCTTTATAAAAATCTTCCGGAGCAGGTCCGCTCTCCTCATCTGGGTCGTCGACAGAATCCTCCTTCTTCTTCAGCGGCAGCAACTTGATTTCTTTTTCTGGCTTCTTGCTTGTCGTTGGGATCGTTACTGCCACGGAAGACGTGCCGTTCCCCAACTCAATGAAACGTGCATTGCGGCTGATCATGATCTGATCCATCTGAAGGTCAACGAAACGGTAACCTTTCT